CCTGGGGGAGGAGGCGTACCATCTGTTGAAAAAAGTAGTCGATGGAAAGAAGATAATTCTGACCTTAACAAGGTAAAATGAGAAGTGCTCCACACTAAGGACTGTTTACTATTTTGTTACTTGTCTGCAAAAATATACAAATTATATTCTTCATCACAGATAAAAAATAGGAGTGCAGAACACTTTGCATAGACAGCCGAGCTGCCACATCTTTGTGAAATCCAGAGTTCCTAACTTCAGTTTTCTTTTACATAAAGCTAACCAGAGTTTCCAAAGCTGAGAGAAAGATGATAGTCTATTTTCTAAATCAGAAAGACTCACAGTTTCCCACAGTCTGAGGAGAGAAATGGTAGACCTTATCAATGAATCGCATCAAGGTACTGAGAAGTGCAAATGTAGAGCTTGACATATGGTATTTTGGCTTTGCACGACCTCACAAATTGAAGATACAGAGCCCAAATGTTTTGTGTACATCCAGTTTTAGCAAGCACAACCACAAGAGCCAACGATAATCTAACAGACAGCAAACATACCAAGGGCTAAAACTAGAAGTGACTTGTTTGAGTTCAATGGGTCACTTCATGAGCTAAGTGTTGATTACTACACAATATGGATAGAAATTGCCAAACTAGACAACCTAACCATTAACAATGTCATTTGCCATTTCAAATCCCTTGTGCAAGATATGGCATTCCAGTGGAATTAATCAGTGGCAATGGACCTCATTATGCCAGCTCAGCATTTACAGCATTTAGCACCAGTTATGATTTTGTACACACCACTACAAGTCCCTACTACTCTCAATCGAATGGGGAAACAGAGCGACCAGTACAGACAACTGAGAATCTCTTAAAGAAAGCTTAAGATCCTTTCAAGGCATTGCTAAACTACCAAAACACCCCAGTGGGAGGAGTAGGCTTCCCAGCTGCACAATTGCTCCTGGGTCGCAGGTTAACAACATCATTACCAACAAGTGCAGATCTTTGTAAACCCATGGTGCCTAAGAAGTCAAGGAACACTTTGACAAAAGAAAACTGCAAAAGAAAATTTACTAGAGTAGAATAGGAGTTAGCAGTGCGGGATCACAAAGTGATTGCATACAAAAACACCAACTCTCTTTACTACTTTCCATATTATGGAAATTATTTAATGAATTTATTTGATGAGACTATTTAATGGAATCATTTGTTGGAATAATTTCATAATTTCAAAGGGTTGGAATACTATAGGAGACTAGCCTTATGATCTCACATCATTTTTCCATTGCGTGACATTCTCGGAAGACAAGGAAGTCAATGATGTAATACCACAAGGACTTTCCCAAGGAAATGAGTGATACATTGCTACTGTTTTTTTAATTTAAAAAAATATTATAACACAGTATAAGAATAATGGATTGCAACAATGAAATTCACGAGGAATTTGAGGATAGACACTGATTTATTGTCCAATATGTGACAAGCAACTTCAAGAACATACTGTAAAAAATGAACGATGTTGTGAAAATATGAAACTTGAAAACGAAAAATGGAGAAACTGTAGGTGTACATTCTGGCCATGTTGATAGATATGAAGTAGCAAATGAGATTAGAGATATTCATGAGAATCTATGTAAGATAATCTGAAAATAAATTTATCATCGAAAGTATCACATTCAGGATACAATCTTTGATACATGCAAAAGATACAGCATACAAATATCAATGAATGATAAAAGTAAGATATTAGAGATTTTTGAAAGGATTGAGAGTGTGCTGCATCATATTAATGGTGTTGCAAGTGCCCTTGTCAATTCATAGATATTGTGTTGCCTGCCTTCTTAAGAGATGGTCACAAATGCTTCAGTTACAGTTTCACCTTTCTTATCCCTTCAAGGTTTTATCCATATTTACTGAATATGTCAATGGCCATAAGGAGATATTTATACCCTTGTTCCATTTACTGAGTTGTCGCGTATCAACAAGACCTGCACTCTATATGTCATCAGTGTGATTCACAATAACACGCTACTAAGGAAAATCCCTCTTTATTGGTTAATGTAATTCATGGGCTGATGCTAATGTTCTTTTTGATTTGGATATTGGTTCATTTTTGTTTTGTAATTTAATCAATTTCGTCATCATTTGTTTTAGAATTAGATTAACATTGAGCATCCATTAGGAATTCCATAATAAACATCTCAGAATTATTAGACAAACATGATATAACAACATTCTCAACAGAAAATGAAGAAAAATGCAGTGTTGTTGAAAGATGGAATATTTTAAAAAACCTAAAATATTGAAACAGTGTAATGACACAAAGCACTCAATTAAAATGACACCTGCATAAGCTAGTCAAAAGAAGACTGAAGGAACTGCGCTCATTTACTTCAATCTATGTGGTGACATGGAGCATTCATCATCTAAACCAAAATTCAAAGTACCTGATAAGGTTCACATATCAAAATATGAAAGAAAGAAATTCAATAAAGGATGCAATCCAAATTGGACAGAAGACTGGTCTACTATAGATAAAATCCAATAAACTGATCCATCACAAAGAAAATAACAGACCTGAATGGTAAGAAAATTAAAGGAAGCTTTTATACTGAATAATTGTTAAAAGCAAAACAATATGTATTCAGATTTGACAAAGTCATTCCAAGAGATTATAAGAAGAAACAAGCTTTGGTAAAGTGGAAGGAATACAGTTACAAATTTAATAGCTGGATACCAATAGAGGACTTACTAAAGATATAAACACATGACTATAGTAAACAATTACCAGTACCACTTGTCATTTGGACAGATCTTGAAGCAATAACAGAAAAAGTGCATGGATGTTAACTAAATGATGATGAATCATATATTAAATCATACCAGAATCATGAAGACTGTAGTTATGGATATAAAGTTGTCTGTTGCTATGATAATAAATACACTAAACCAGTTCAGCTGTAACAACTGCTGAAAACAACACATGCAAAGAGCAATGTTTTGCCAACCAGACTACATTGCATAATCACCCTAGAGAAGTTTAATCAAGCAAATTGACAACATAAATATTCCTTGCATGTACAAAGAGAAGAAGATCAACTGCATATTCAATGTCACAGACACTTCAGGGCCAGCTATTTTCGGTCTAAAAGTGTGCACTGCATTGAAACTAGTCTCCTTACATTGTACACTCAGAACAAATCGACTAGACCAGGCCAATCCAACTAACAGCTTCAATGTTCCAGCTCAAAATTCAGATACTGGCAAGAAAAGCCCAAATTGCATCAGAAGTCATGTATCACTGAGAGAACAGCCACCAATCAGCAATAAACAAGAATTGATGGAGATTTACCCAGAATGGCATTGTTGGATGTTTTGACCACTATACACATCACATCACATTAGATCCCGAAATATCACCAGTGGTCCACACACTTCAAAAAGTAACGCAACCCACAGATTAGGTTAACTCCTTGGTTATTAAAGAAAAAGAAAATGGGGCATTTTGTTTATGTGTTGATCCTAAGGACCTGAATAAGGCGATCAAAAGAGAACATCCTCCTATACCCACTTTAGAGGAAATTACAACCAAATTAGCAGGAGCAAAGCTCTTTAGCAACCTCGATACAATGGCTATTGAAATGTTAAATTAGAGGAAGAATCTTCATACCTAACAACTTTTAACACAACATTTGGTTGATACCATTTCCTTTGGATGCCATTTGGCTTACGAATAAGCCAAGATATCTTTCAATTCAAGTTTGACTGGACATATCATGATTGCCAGGGAGCCATTGGCATTGCAGATGACAATACAGTCTACAGAAAAAATGACAAAAAGCAAGACATACACCTACATGACAATATGGAACGTACCAGAAAAGCTGGCATCAAGTTCAATGACAAGAAGTGCACTATCAAAACAAAGGAGTGCAATTTCTTTGGTATGCTTTACACACTAGACAGTGTCAAACCCAGCCCAGACAAAGTCAGAGCCATAGAAAATCTTGAACCACCCAAAGAGAAAAAGGAGCTTCATACTGTTTTAGGGATGGCAACCTACATGAGCTCATTTGAACTCAATTTGGCTTATCACACTGTCCCCTTAAGAAATCTCCCAAAAGAGAATGTTGACTTTGTGTGGAACCCATCACATTCGAAAGCCTTTGAGAAAGTGAAGTCATTGATATGTACCACAACGACCCTAGCATACTATGACAGAAACGAACCAGTTGCCCTTCACCTTAATGCATCAATTAAGGGCTTAAGTGCAGCTCTGTTCCAAAACAACAAGCAAATAACTAAAACCGTACTAGCCCCCCTTACGAGATGACATATCAGTAGAATATGGGCGGATACTTCTTGGAAGCTGTGTTATAGTACCTGAATCCTTAAGAGGCAACATCCTACAACAAATCCACGGAGGGAACTTTGGTATAGAAAAATGCAAGCTACAAGCCAAATCCTGTGTTCACTGGCCAGGCACGTTCAAAGAAATAGAAAATCTCGTAAACTCATGCAATGCTTACCAGAAATATCACAATTCCCAACAAAAGGAACCCATGATGCCATCAGAGATCCCTTCAAGACCATGGAAAACAGTGAGTGTGACATGTCCAATGTAAGTACAACAGTCATGGTTCCTCATAGTTGTTGACTACTACTCCAAGCTGTTGTTAAGCTTCACAACCTCACAACCAGAGCCATTGCTAATGAAATAAAAATGCTATTCACAGAAATTGAAATCCCACAGTTTCTTCAATGTGACAACCGTACTCAATTTACATCCAGTGAGTTCCAAAAACTGTAAGCTAATATGGTTATGAAATTGTGACATCATCCCTCCACTACCCACATGGTCATAGGTTCGTTGAATGCCAAGTCAGGACCGTTAAGAAGATGATCCTGTAATGCAGAGAGACTAAAGACATAGATTTAGCCCTGTTGTACCTCGCAGTTAGCCTAGCAATACACCAAGCAGTACGAAGCAAAGAGCTGGTTAATCTCCTCCATGGATTTGGCATGGCTGTAGAGTACAATCGCTTGTTAAGGTTGGAGTCACAAATTGAGAAAACTGTCCTGAAGTGCATAGAGAGTGAAGGTGGCATGTTTCTCCCTCCGGATATTGTGAAAGGACAGCATGTATTTTTTGCTATTGATAATATCGATTTCTCAGAGGATATGCCGGACGGGAGGCGTACTCTACACGGCACAGCAATGGCTATTTATCAGAAAGTGGAACCCCAAGATGAAGAACCTGTATTAAGGTACCATTACTGTTCTACTAAGAAGCATGATGCACTCATTTAATCCCAAGTGCTCGATGGGAGGGGGGTTAATTAGATAATAGACGTTTAATTTTACTTTTACTTTGGCATGACTGGTCTGTGTGATTCAGGTTTTTCTTTGTTTCAATAAGAATAGCTAGTAAGTTAAAAGCTAATCTCATTTCTAGGATGTAGGATAGAAAAGATCCCCTTCTTGAACAGCATTTTGCTTCATAAGTAGATGTTGTTGCGTTTTGTTTTTCATTTTGATAGATTAGAGGAGCCAAATGATTCATGCCGTTCTGTAACAGAACTGCCCAAATCGCTGACATCTTTAATGCCATGCGTGGAGCCGCCATCAAGGCCCCCTTCTCTTGTGTACCCTACATTTGAGCTGTCATCAGAACAAGAGTTGCCCCAAAACATCCATGATGAGAATGCTACCTGGATAGTGTCTCATACCCTGAAAGGCCATGATACCCCAAGTGATGATGATAATGATGAGCCTTCTGTACCAGTATGGTCAGCCTACAACTCTTTGGTAAATGAAGCACTACCTGTCACACATGTCGGTGCTCCTCCATTGTTGGCGCATCCTGCTCATTAATGGAGCATGCTCCTCACAGTTCTAATGCTTGCTCAAAATATCTGTTAGAGTAGTTGGTCCCGGGAGGAAAACAGTCATATCGCTAGACTTTGGTTTGTATCTGCCCACCAAACGATTACAGATGGCCCGATGCGAGCTCAAGAACATTCTCCCTCGACCAGGGGAGCTGCATGTGGTTAGGGCTATGCTGAGGACCATTGGGTCATATATTGACAGTAGTGGGATAGACATGTGCTGGATCAAGCCGGAACTTTATGGCCCCTCCACTGTTAAACAGATAATCGATGGCAAGCATGTTAAGCGCGGTAAAAGAGCACACATGATCACCTTACAGGCTTTATTTTCCTTATACCTGGAAGCATTTCTAAAAGGCTCTCCTGATGTACATCATATCCTTGAGGAACTCTCTATGAAAGTTGGGGATGCGTGCAAAGAAGGCACTAGGGAGAACATCCAGACGGCACACCATAGCTCTACCAATGCGATCCAGTCTTCTGAAGTAGTCAAGAAGATGTCTGATTTTGACGCTGCAAATGCCACAAATCCTCTCTTTACTGTATTTTGCCAATACATGTGCATGGTAATGGAGATGTTCGCATTCATCCAGGCAGTCCACAGTGGTGATTGGAAGCTCCATCTAATTGCACTGGAGTTGTTCACAAAGTACTTCTTTGTGCACGACAAGATCTGTTATCTAAGGATGATCCCCCTGTACGTAGCTGAAATGGCATCCCTCGAATCATCAGACCCTGAGATCTATGGAGAGTTCATCACAGGAAACTGGGTGGTGAACAAAAACAAGGTGGTTCCCTTCTGTGCTGTTGGTGGTGATACTGCATTGGAGCACCTCAATCGATCTATGAAAGTTTCTGGTGGGCTTGTAGGGATCACTTTGAATGAGAGTGCACGGGCCAAGTTTTTCCTCATTGCCCCAGAACTAGCCCGACTCACAGCAGAAGCCAAGGCAATGGCGGGTCTTGTTGCGGAACGTGCACACCATCAAGAACTAAACTCAGCTGTTTTGGCGCATGAAGATAACAGCATAAATAAGTTGACCGAAACAATCAAGACCTTCACCAATCCCTTTTCATCAGACCAGAACACCAACACAGATCTGTACAACTTGGTCACAAAAGTTGTGATGAATGAGAAAACGAAGAAGATCTTGTTAATCAGAGTGAAGAAGGGAGAGAGCTATTCAGTGCTATTGTACAAGATAGGATCAAGACAGGAAAGATCAACCTCTGGGCTCCTGTAAAGAAGCGCAATCTTCTTACCTGGAAAACGAGTGCTAAGGTCATCAAAGTCAAAGCTAAAGACACCATCATCGAGTTAAGGGAGGACAGGAATCTGTTTGCTTGTTTGGCAATGGTGTGCAAGAGCTGCCTAGAAATTGATATCCAAGAGGCTGTTGGCTTATATGAGTTCACTGTTGTCCCAAGATCTTTGTTTGCACGAGATGGTACCATGTTGCATTGTTCTTGCAAGAGTGCCCTTATGCATATCCTAGAGAAGGCAGGTGGCCCTAATACTAATACACAAGAAATCACTGCAGGATTCAAAGTCACGATTGTTGATGGAATGGCTGAAGTCCAATCACTTCACAAGCCAGAGTGGATCTAGAACTGTAGAGACTTGGCTGAACATTTCACGAATCGCTTGCTTGTAAAGTATAATGATTTACAAGAGCTCCACATAATCTTCGACAGATATGATGTACCATCCTCACTGAAATCGGCAACATGAGTCAAACGACAAGGTGGCCATGCTCCCATTTATTATCGCATCACTGATTCTACCCACATTGCCAAGGTGCCGATGAAGAGGCTTCTTGCTCATTCAAAGACCAAGGGCGAACTTACTACGTTTCTCGCAAAGAATGTGAAGGATAATGCTAATGGGAGACAAGTCATTGTGGCATGAGGAATGAAATGTGAGGCAGCGCACAGAGACGTCAGGCATTTACGAAGTACACAAGAAGAAGCCGACATGAAGATTATTTTACACGCTCTGGATGCCTCTGCTCAAGGTGCTACCCAACTATCTATATATTCTCCTGACACTGATGTTCTTGGTTTGGCTCTCCAACAGTATCCAGATTTGTGCTCTAACTCTTGCTTTGTTACTGGGACTGGCATTAGTCGTAGAGTTATCAACTTGAACTCAATCGCAGAAACCCTTGGGCCCACCAAGACGGCTGCGCTGCCAGCATTTCATGCGTTGATCAGAGCAGATGTTACTGGCAGTTTCTCTGGAAAGGAAAAAGCCACTTGTTGGGATGAGTTTGATAATGCCAGCACTCCTATCTTGCAAGCTCTTGCTAACCTCGGTTGTGGGGAACAGCCAGATGACGGCACAAGAAGTGGAGTGGAACAGCTGGTTTGTCGGATGTACCAACCAAAGACAGACATCAAAACTGTCAAAGCCCTCAGATGGTCCCTCTTTAAGAAAAATCAAACTGAGTTTGAGAGGTTGCCGCCCACACAAGCTGCTCTCCATCAAGCCATACTGAGAGCGCACTACCAGCTTCTTGTTTGGAACAACGATCATGTAGCAAACCCGGTGTTGCCCTCACCAGAAGGCTATGGATGGCAAGATGAAGATGGAAGTGGGTACCAGTCATGACAAATCTTCCACCAGCTCCAGAGGCAATTACACAGCTTGTCCGATGCAAGTACGCCAAGTCTCGTTGCTCTAACAACCGTTGTTAGTGTCAAAAAGCCAGACTTGTCTGTACTGATCTCTGTCTGTGCTCTGAAGATTGCTAGAACGAGTATGCTGAGAGTGATGATGAGTATGATGAAGACGAAGTCGAACAGGAAATTCCATAGGAATGGACAACAGAACAATGTATATAGATATTGAGTAAGACTTTCATGACTGTATTTATAAAATAGCAGTAGTCGCTATTTTCATTTTCTGCCCTTGTTCCAATATACATGCGAAAATGAATACATGGAACCAGTATCATAAGTTGGCAAAATTATTGATTATATGTAGTTTTACGCAAGTTTGGCATGATAAGGATTTTTTTGGACAAATTTATGTGTTTCAGCCTCGCTTTCATGCGTAAGGTCACGTGACCTATGTAAATCAGCATAAATCAACAGGGAGGATCCTGTCCAATCATGTGAGCAAGTTTGGTGTATTTTCGTCAGTTATTAACAAAGTTATGAGGAATTATGTGTTTTAGCCTCGTTTCCATGCTGGATTTCATGGGTCAGAATTTAACCCCCCTTAAAAGCCGTCTGAGCAAGTTGCAAAGCTGGCACCAAAACTTTTCATGTTTAGTAGGTCCTAATGAACACTTTTACACTAGGAGCTTGCTTTCAGCACGAACTTCACGCGGGGCCACATTTGCTCCCAGACTAATATGGAGAGAAAAGGAAAGTTGTGCAACAGGGTGGACTTTGTAACAAATGTCTTGTGAAGGGAAATATAGCTAAGGAGTGCCCTAAAGTGAATTTCAAGTGCCAGAAGTTTGGATGTGGAGGTAACCACCACACCCTAAAGTATCGTTACACTACAGGAACCGGAGGAGAACCTAATGCTGATGCTGAACAACAATCGCGAGCAAGACAAGGAAATGCTTTGCCTCCTAATGTTACTGGGGCAGGCAATGATAGAGAAGCCACTATAGCGGCCACTGAGGCCGGAGAAAACCGAGTTTGTCTTGGGATCCAGCCTGTTAAAGTTCAAGGAAAAGGTAGCGACAGGATGGTCGAAACGTCTGCTCTGCTTGACAGTGGTTCGGAGGTGACACTGTCCATGAAAGGCTGGCGAAAGAGCTTAAACTTAATGGAGATGGACTTAGTTTCACATTGACGGGAATGACGGGCTCAGCTCAGGTGGAAAGTTGCCTTGTAGATTTGGTTGTGAAGTCCTTGAATGAATCAGTTACTGTCGAATTGTTGAATGTGAAAACAGTCAAGGACATGCCTTCTACAAGTCGTATTGTGAAGACAGAAGACCTTACTTGGTGGCCTCATCTCCGAGACATTGACATTCCAGTGCTAGAAAATGGAGGTCTTGCTGTTGATTGGTCTCAAAGAGAATCCTGACCTGTTCCTTCCACTTGAATGTAAATCTGGTGGCCACGATTAGCCTATAGCTACCCGATACAGCTTAGGATGGACAGTGATGGGTCCAATGGAGGGTCAGAAAAGGGATCACGGTTGTTCAGTGAATTTTATCCGCACAAAGGAAAGTCAGTTGACGCAAAGGGGAGTCCACTCAAACATTGAGCTGTTTGAACATTTGTGTAATGGAACTCGCCTTGATAGTGTAACTGGTTTAGTGGAAAGAAATGCAGATGTCACTAAGGAGCAGGAGCGAGCTGTTAGTAGCGTGAAAGGCCCAGAAAGCAACGAAGAAGAGATTCAAATTCATGTGAATGTCCTTCAGCTAAAGGAAAATGTTAAACACGACACAGATGATGAAATCGTACATCGCCAACTCGAGCGACTTTGGAAAACTGATTTTGGTGACTCTGCCATTGGAATAGATACCCTATCATCCTTTGAAGACAACAAAGCCTTAGACAAGGTGGAACAATCCCAACAAAGAGTGGGTGACCACTTTCAAGTTGCTCTGCCATGGCGAGAAGAATTACCTTATCTCCCCTACAATAAACTAATGGCGGAACAAAGGTTACAACTTTTGAAGAAACGACTGCTTAAAGATGGAGAGTTACTTATGAAGTACCGAAGCACGATGCAAGAGTACATAGCTAAGGGGCATGCCCAGAGAGTTCAAAGGGAAGAGTTAGACGTGAGAGATCGCCCAGTTTGGTACCTTCCACATCATCCTGTGACACATCTACTGAAACCAGGAAAAGTCAGAATGGTCTTTGATTGTGGTGCAAAGTATCATGGAACCTCCCTTAATCAGCAATTGTTACAAGGCCCTGACTTGATGAATCCGTTAGTTGGAGTGTAGATCAGATTTCGCCAAGAACCTATTGCTACGGCAGCCGACATTGAGGCTATGTTCCATCAAGTTTAGGTTGAGCCTAAAGACCGTGATGCATTGAGATTCCTATGGAGGCTAAATGGCGACCTGAACGAGGAACCACGAGAGTACTGTATGGTGAAACATCTATTTGGAGCGACCTTGTCTCCAGCTTGTGCAAACTTTTGCCTAAAGAAAACAGCATCGATTTATCAATCAGAATTCGACCCAGTGACAGCCCAAACCGTGAAGAAAAACATGTATGTCGACGATTTGATGAAGTCTGTAAGTTCACCAGAGATTGCAATGAGGCTGTCTTCACAACTAAGAGAATTGCCGGCGAAAGGTGACTTCAGATTAACAAAGTGGTTAAGTAATGACCAGGAGGTGTTGGCTGAAATACCACAATCTGAAAGAGCAAGTTCAGTGGTCAACCTGGAAATAGAAGATTTGCCTACCACATGCACGCTTGGTTTAAAGTGGAATGTGGAGACTGACAAATTCGTCTGGGAGGTGTCAGCCAAAGTTCAGCGATCACTGAAAGAGAAACCAATGACCAGATGTGGAGTGTTGTCAGCTGTTAGTTCATTATTTGATCCAATTGGTTTCATCTCCCCCTTCATAATGAAGGCCAAGCTATTGCTACAAGAACTTTTTCGGAAGAAGGTGGGATGGGACGGTGTCATCAATGAACAAGAAAGGGTTCAGTGGTTACGCTAGCTAGAAGACCTTCCAAAATTACAAGCATTTCAAATTGAACGATGTTTTAAGCCAAAGGACTTTGGCGAAACAAAGAATGTCCAGATGCACATTTTCTCTGATGGATCTTGTGTAGGGTATGGAGCAGCAACCTACCTATGCTTTGTTGATGTCTTTGACAGAATCCATTGTAGCTTTGTTATGGAAAAGGCACGACTGGCCCCCATCCATGAGATCACTACTCCAAGGTTAGAATTATCAGCAGCAGTTATCTCAGTTAAGCTGTACCAAATCATAAGTCAAGAGGTTGAAACCAAGATAGATCGAGTGAAGTACTGGACAGACTTTATTACAATATTTAAATACCTTAAAAGTGACACCAAGCAGTTTCATACCTTTGAGTCGAATCGCCTTACCATGATCTGTAGCATATCGTCCACCTCAGATTGGAGATACGTCAACTAAGATGAGAATCCAGCAGACGATGCATCCAAAGGCTTGAGGCTTGATGAGATGATGAAGAACAGGCAGTGGTTAAATGGTCCAGCATTCCTTTGGAAAGAGGAAACTTCCTGGCCAGCAATGATTGAAGTGCCCCCCTTGAAAGAT